ACAGAAATAGTTTTAGGGATGCTCTTGTGCCAAATGTTAGAGAAGATCTTATCAAAAGGCCTCTTACTTCTAAAAGACAGCCACACATGCTTGATATGGAAAGTCCCATCATTAGAGAAATCACACATAATAACATCTTTAGAATGAATATTAAAAGTTAAATTAAGAATATTGGAAATAACACTGTTAGGGACAAAATTCGAAAGCTTGTCCACATCCCAACCATTGTCTTTAAAGAAAAAATTAACTTTAACAGAGTCAAACAAAGAATTATACAATAAGGAATCGATAGAATCCTTACCAAGCCATTTATCCTGCCAAAAAAATACATTCCCATAACCAAGCCCCCAAAAAAATATTGCATTCCATATCCCATTTGAGCTTACACATCCGTCTCCACACTTTAGAATCCCCAGGCTTAACCGAGATAACCGTGGGGTGAAGATCCCCACAGTATTTAGCATTCATAAATTAAGACCAAAGACTCTCTTTAGAACGAAATTTAAACCAAAGTTTAAAATAGAAGGTCTTAGCCATGTCAGCCATAGACTTACAACCCAGACCACCTTCCTCCACCACACTGCACCCTTTGTCCCAAGACGACCACATAATTTTAGAAGAAGAATTAGTGCCCTTCCAAAAAAACTTATTAATAATCTTGTGAATCCTATTACAAACAGCTTGCGTAGGAAATAAAGTTTGAAAAATATAGACAGGTAAAGCACAAAGCACGCTTTTAATTAAAGTAATACGACCACCAAAACTCAAAAATTGGAATCCCACGATAAAAGTTTGTTGTGCACCGAGTCAATCAAATCATCAAACAGAAAAGTATGTTTTCTACCTTTGAATAGAGGAACACCAAGATACTTGATAGGTAAATTCGTGTGAGTAAAGCCAGTAGTATCTTTAATAGCACGAATACGATCATTGGAGATGTTTTTAGAAGTAATAAAAGTACATTTATTTTTACTAAAGGAGAGGCCACTAATTAATTCAAATATATTGAAAAAAGACATAATTTTCTTAACTCTATTAATAGAGGCATTAGAGAAAACAATAAAGTCATAATCAAATCAAAGATGGGATAAATGAAAGCCTCCTATAGTCCTAAAATAAAGACTAGGATTAAGGTAAAATAAATTAGAAATACCTCTAGAGAGAAATTCAGCCGAGATAATAAACAAAGCAGGAGAAATAGGGTCACCTTGCCTAATCCCATGAGAAGACTTGAAGAAACCATGGTTAGAGCCATTCAGAATAATAGAAAAGTAAACATTCTCAATACAATTTTTAATAAGGGAAATGAAGGTAGAGTTAAAACCAAAACGGTCCTGCATAAAGTAAATGAAACTCCAACAAATATTGTCATAGGACTTGGCAATATCAAGTTTAAAAATCATATTACTACCCCTGACTTTAACATCTAAATCATGAGTAAATTCTTGCGCCAGCAGGATATTATCCGTAATAGCCCTACCTTTAACGAAACCCATTTGAAAAGGAGAGATAATTTTAGGCAACACAGTAGATAAACGATTCGAAATAATCTTAGAAAGTAGTTTATTAAAGAAGGTGCAAAGACTTATGGGCCGAAAGTCATTCCAAGATTGAGTGGCAGGACATTTGGGAATAAGAACAAGAGAAGAGCACTTAAAAAATTTTGGGATAGGGTTTCCCTAAAAAAAAATCAATAACAACATTAAAAATATCATCACTAATAATATGCCAACATTTTTGGAAAAAAGGGTCGTATAGCCATCCAGACCGGCAACAGAATCACTATTCATACCCAAAGCAGTATCTTTAACCTCATCAAAAGACGGAGACGAGGAAAGAAAATTATTATCATCATGAGAAATAAAATTAGGAATAAAGGAGTGATCCACATCTTGAATAGGGTTAAAACCTTTATTAAAGTGGTTATAGAAATGACTCACAACAAGATTGGCGATCTCAACAGTATCAGTAGAAAGGAGCCATCTGTTCTTTGAATATTAGTAATGTTAATTTTAGCCATTTTCCTCTTAGTTAAAGCATGAAAATACCTAGTGTTGCAGTCACCCTCAACCAAGTGTTTGGCCGCGGCTTTTTGCTTCCAAAAAACCTCTTCATGAGCTTGAAAATTAGAAAGATCAAGTTTAGATTGATTAAGCAAAGACATATTCATATCAGAGGGGTCCACTTGATAGACATTCTCATTAAAAGCAACAACTTGTTCAGCTTGTAAAATGTTGGAAAATATATTTCTAAAAGAATTACGATTCCACCAATTGAGAACATATTTCAATCTTTTAAGCTTTCCATGGTTTCCGACTCTTTTTATTATGGACTTTAATATAACTAGTATCAATATCATGAGAAGCAAAGCATTTAGAAGCCATCATGATTTCCTCAATGTCAAAGAGATAATCGCTATTATAATTAGAAGAAGATAGGGCCTTACCATCACCACGAAGATGTGGTTCATCATCAACCATAAAGCTACCATCTTCCTCCCTAGATGCATAATTCTATCTCTCCCCAACCAAATTGCCAGATGTAGATAAAGGATTATGATCCAAAGCAACAATTTTTCCCTCCTCCCCATCAGGAAGAACAACCTCCTGATTACTGTCAATCAATTATAAAGCATCATTCGCAACTAAACCCGTCAGATTACCACCAGGCTGTTCAACATTCAAATCATCATTAAGCTTGTGTTGTAAGATATCAGCTAAAGAAGGAACCACATTATGAACTACAATAGCAAGATTATCATCACAGTTAATAGAATCAACATTATCTAAAATAAGCGGTAGAATATCAACAGAAATAACTCCCTCAGACTGAGGATTCACGGCAATACACTCCTCATTTAATTCATTTTGCGGCTGATCCACAATGTTCACATTTTTCTCGGTAAATTTTTTTTCTATATTATCGGGGCCAGATGAGTTTTTCATATTGTTTTTCTCAGCTCGCAATTGAGGATTTTTCTGGTAGCATTGATTCACTCAATGGCCATGCATCTTACAAAAAGAACATAAAATAGGTAAGTTTTCAAACTCCACTTTTTGGAAATAACCTTTCATTTCCGAACCAATCCATATTTCAGTAGGATGTTTCTTAGAAACATCCACTTCAACCAGGACCCGAGCCACTGAAGGACAAGACACAGAAGTAGTGGCTTGATCAGTCTGTAAGGGCCGACCAAAAATAGAAGCTAAACCAAACAGGATTTGAGGATTGAAAAAATGCAAACATAAATTAGGAAATGAAATCGAAACCGGAGCTATAGTCGATTCTTAGCGAACATCAAAATCTGGAGTCCATTTCAAAAGACGCATGTGACAAGCTTGAATATAGTAAGAACGCCTCGCAAAAATTCGACTATAATCAAGATCGTTAGCTAACTAGATCGCAATAAGATGCTGATCCAGAAAACCCACATGAAAGGAACCAGAAAGCTTAAGATTAAAAAAAAATTTTCAGATAACATCCAGATTAGGTCGTCTCAAGACAAACTTCCCAACTAAAGTTAACGCATAAGGTGCAGCTAACAAATCAACAACCGAATCTTCAAAAAGAAGGGCTGGACAACCCTTAAAAGACGAATGGACAAAGGACATTTTAGGACCAGAAGAAGATGATCCAGCAAGAACATCTCGAAAAGAATGAGATTTCTCATCTAAAGAAGAAGAAATAGGGTTAGATGATGACGGGGTCGTCATCTACCCATAGCAGAAGAGCACGAAAAGCACAAAATCTAGACACAAGACAAGAGAAATCGGTATGAAAACCAAACCGAAACCAGCAAGTAAATCCAGCTTGGAGGGCCAGAACCACGCACGCATGGGCGGATACCAGTACATCTTAGGGTGGGCAAATGCCCACCCTCAAAAAAAAAAAAAAAGGTTTAGATAAGGATAAATTTGGACTTTTGACCACCGTAAAAAATATATTTTGCCCAAATATTCCCCATCTCGTTTAGGGAGAAGAAAAGTGCAGCGGGCTCAAGCTACCTTGCTTGAGAAGTTGGACCCCCTCGTCATCGTCGGAGTTACAGTGGCCTGAAGTTGAAACATGATTGCATTTGGAATGTTAGGTCGCCTGGAGAAGAAGAGTATTGAAAAATTTGTTTTTTATCGATATAAGAGAGCATGAGATAAGGTTTTAAAAGTAATAATAAACAAAATCTTTTAAAATTCCAAGACACATTAAGCAAAAAAAAAAATAGCAGCCGCATGCTTTCATTAAATGTAGAATTAATGCTTTGTATTTTTTTTAATTGTGCTTAAAAAAAAAAAAAACTTGAACCATGCGTCAGAAGTTTTTTTTTTTTGGCTATTTCATTTTAGGATTTATAATTTGTGAGGGAGTAATTCTTAAACCCATTAAATATTATATATACTTTATTATTTTTTTTTCTTAAGTTAGATAACATTAAGTTTATTTAATATTATTTTTTCCTAAGTTATAGTCTAGTTTTAGTATAATTTATACGATTATACTCTAATTTATATTATTACTAAAATTAATATTATATTGAAAGATAAATGATAAAATTTTTCTCTTATAAATTTAATAACATAAGTAGGTTAAATTATTTTAAAAAAGTTAGTTTATTATTATTAATGATTATTAATATTATTATTTAGTTATTATTATTATTATTATTATTAATTATTTAATTAATTTATATTTTGCCCACCCTGAAAAAAAAAACTGGATCCGCCCCTGCACGCACGGACGGGAGAAGCCCTAGATCGCCCTGAAATCGCCTCCGAGAGCAAGAGAGACGTTGAAACACGATAACATAACCTAAAACATTGCAATTTCACTGATTTTTAAGATAAGAAAATAGTATAAAATTTACGGTTAATGAATTTCCCTCAGTTTAGGCTCTTGTTATCAAACAATGGTGTAATCACCTACTAATTAGTTCATTAAGGAAAATTTTAATAAATATATATTTTTTTAACTTTAAATATTTTCAAATTCAGTTTAAAATCTAAAAATAACCCCCCCTCCCTCCACTGTCTACGCCGAGCTCCAGGTTTTAGGGTTTCTTTTCTGCACTATAGTCGCTGGCTGGTGGGAACTAACTATGGGCTCGACGTCGCGGAGGAATTATAAATCAGAGAGGCAATCCCTCTTTTTTCACGATCTTGCCTCGCCGGTCTCCGTCCATCGCGCTGGCGGGAGATTCACCATCCCCGGCCAAGCGGCTGCCCTCTCCGCCCAATGGCACGAAAACTTCGGCGGATCGGAACCGCCGCCACCTCCTGTGTTCACACTGGAGGATCGCCTTGAATTCTCCCCTGAGCCCACCCTAGGCGAGTTTCCAGCCTCGCCGGAGCTGGGATCTGATTCGAGGACACCAAATCCTTCGCGCGGATATTTATCCTCTCCTTCTCTTCATAGAAGCAGGGCGGCGGAACTGAGTAGTTCTGTGTTGGAAAATGGTGGGTTTCAACTTGCGAAGCAGCAGCACCAGCACCAGCATAGTCCAGGGAGCGCTAGCTGGTGGTCGCCGTTGAAGACTGGGGAGCCGGAGCTGGAGAAGAAGGGCAGAGGTTCTCCAGTTGATGGTGAAGTGCAGCCAGGAGCACTAATCATGCTGCCTCCTCCAAGGGAAGCTGTTAGGCCGGAGATGCAGAGGAATAACCTATCCATGGGAGCATTGAATGAGGAAGAGTGGGTTACTGTTTATGGGTATGTGCGGTCAACGTATTTTCTATTATCCACTTATCCATTTGTTATGTGAGCTTGTGCAAGTTATGACGTTCGAAAGGCTTGTTTTTTCTGTGCTTCATTCAATGTTTTATTTCACGTTTTTCTCTATCAATCAATTAATAGTGGTGTTTGAAGTGAAATTTTTTTATAGTTGGATGTTTGTATGAAGTTCTCTCAGCAATATTGGAGTGATGCCCATAGTCAATTGAGAGTCAATGCCACATGATTTAATGTCAATGAATTATCTTATTATGAGAGATCCATGTATTTAGTTATGTAAAGGTTTGTATTGATGTCTATAGAGAAAATGAAAATTTTATTAGTAGTTTTTGTGAGCTTTATTATTAATTTAACATGTCTAACAATATGAATAACTTAGGAATGGTTCATGTAATACTCCCTTTTAGATGACTATCAAGTGTTTAGAATAATAACTAACATGTTTCTTGCAATCAACAATAGAAAAGCGATCATTGTCTTACATTCAAGTCAATTGTATCAAGTGATCTTACATGATTCTCTTGTAATATATATTTAGAATTTTAAGAATTAAAATTGATGCTAATTGTTTAGCCAACATTGTTGCATGTTAGAAAAGAGGCATAAAATAAGCCCAATGTAAAAAGATGCACAAAAATGTGCCAAATACTTGAAACAGATGTGCAAAGAGCCACATGTGGTAATTCTCTTCTTTCCAAATTCTTTCAATCTCTTAATTCAA